TAAAGCAACAGCCTCGGGGGCAAGAGAAATATACGGAAACATGGTGACATAAAAGGTAAAGAGCACATTACACCCTGAACCCTGCTGGAAAACAGAATGATAACACTATTGCCAGGTGATAAACACTGACTACGACATGGCTACCTGACAGGAATATAGCTATTATTCCATTCTGACTATGAAAACAAGCAGAAAGACTGGATTTACAGAAAATGACCTCACTAGAGGAATTTCACTGTGGAGTGACTAGGCTTAGGTCAAATTATTTTATCTGGTTTTATCCAGTGCCAGAGGACAAAACACTTCTTTGACAAATATACAACTAAAATAGCTACATAAATATGACCTTTAAGCAATGATTTTTCACATAAATTCATAGCACCCATAGTGCAGCTCTTCCAGTCTAGATAACTGTTCATTTACCTCCTCTCCCCAGGGCAAAGCTGCTTAGAGCAGAAAGGAGATTACACATAACCACATATACAAACAGAAAACACTGCAAAGCCTGTGTGACCCTTGCTTATGAAAAACACACACCTATTTTGAGACCCAAATCCGCATATAGATTTTGGTTTATATCTGACCTAAGGCTTTTAACTGCAAATAAATACATTACTTAGAGTGCATGCACCAAAAACGTCTGTAAGAGCTTGCACTTGAGTCGGCAGGGTTCCATTCCTCTCACATTAACAGTATTTTAGTCACACACATTGCCCCCGTCTGACTAGGAAATCTATAAATATAAAACTCTATAAGCAAGACATGCAGCCACTTGTTTGCCTTTCTATCTGTCCTGTATCAGAGCCAGTGTAGGGTTGGCCTTTGGTTGTGTGCTCTTAAAAAGTTTTAATAAGAGACAGCATAAAACTCAGGGGGAGACACAACATAAGTGACCTTCGGGGAGCAGAGGCCACTGGAGAGGGTCACTGAATATAATCTTTCAGTGAGCAACCATGGACTCAGCAGAGCTCGCTCAGCATTTGAGACTGTGTGTGAACTGGAGAGTGAGGGACAAATGTCTCATCAACCTCCACACATCCCACATGCACGAGGCATTTTTTATAGGCCTAGGTGATCACGAACAGAATCCAGTGTTTCCATTCTGTGTCAAAACACACTCAGCTAACGCTAATATGAGACATCAGGAGTCTGACTGAATCAAATAGAGTGGCTTATCTTTTCTTTTTTTTTAAGGATACAGCCTTTTTAGTACTAAATCCACTCTTTGTGCTTACACAGACATGGAGGCAGCCTAACACAGAGGGGATTTAATGCTAAAACACCAACTAAAGCCTCATATTAGCTTCAGCTGAGCTTTTTTTTTTATACAAAACAAGGACAATGAATTTTTCCCCCACCACTTACAATCAACAGGAACTAATTATTGAGGACATCAACCACAGGAACTAATGACTTATTCACAAACATAAGAAGATGGGAATGTTGTTTAAAAAAAGTAAACTCATCCTTCACAAATGAAGGACTGATGTAAAAATTGCACATTACAGTTAAAAGTGATTGCAACCAAAGGGTTGAAACTGCCCATGCATTTATACACACATTTACATTCTACCTTAAGATCTAGCCTTGTAGGCACGTACTTATGGTCAGAATCCCTAAGGGATGGCACAATGACACAAATGCACATCAGGGAAAACATTTTGGGCACATGGTAAAACATGCTGAGAGAAACACTTCTCTCAAAACTATATTTTCAATGCAGTTCAAAGCCCTCTCTATAAATCTTCTGTAAGTTGACACTGCCCCCTGGTGTCTGGCAATGAATGGCGCAACACTATTATATTGCACCGCACGGTTCTGAGAATAACACATTGTTTGGACTAGAACATACTATTTAATTTCACTTTGCAAAACCAAGAAGGAAAATGAAAGGACAGCTCTTCTTTAACAACACAGTTACATACTTGTTGCAATAACATGTTTATATTTTAAAGCACAGTCAAAATAAAACTTTAAGGAGATGGGTAGCACATAAGGAACAATGTTGAAGAAAGTGTGCTATCTACCTCTGCATGCTACGTCTACATAAATCTAATATCAACCTTCTTTACTGGCTTTATGAAATACTATATTTTGTAGTTCTTTCTCTTCAAGTAACAAAAATTTACTCTGACATGTTCAGTGACTTTCCACTGATAGGGAAGGACAATATTGAAAGATAGGTTCATCTTGGGTTTTTTTTTAAAATAACAATAGCCAAATTAATGTTAGGACATTAAATAAAAATTTACTTTGACCAAGTACATCATTACATACATATACAGTAATAAATTTTGATTTTATGAATGCCCCACATGAAGTATGAAATAAACAACACAAACAAACAAATACTTTAAAGTGTTCATTCATACTGTATATTTAGGTGGGACACAACAAGCAATCCTGCATCAGGTTATTAGGGTTTATTTTTTTAAAATCTTCTTAAATGGGATTAGGGGTGATTTCAGGCTCCTGATGATCATCCATGTAATAGGGATCTCCTTGATGGACTCGGTGATTGTGCACCCTCAAGTTCCCCCTGTGTGCAAATCTCTTCCCACACTCTGTACAAGCAAAGGGCCTCTTCCCCATATGAACATCCCGTTGGTGGGCTCGTAGGTTTCCGCTTCGGGCAAAACGTTTTCCACACTGAGCGCAGCCAAAAGGTCGCTCCCCTGTATGTGTGCGAGTGTGCACAGTAAGCTCAGAGGGTGTGAGGAAGCTCTTGTCACAAAACTGACAGGGATGCAGTCTGACTCCTGTGTGTCGTAAAAGGTGTCTGCGCTGGTGGGAGGGGTAGGTAAAACACTTGGTACAGTATGGGCAGGTGTAAGGTCGTCCACTCCCTCCACCAGGAGCTGGAGGGTGACTGAGAGTGTTTGTGTGTCGCAGTGTGAGTAAATGTGAATTGGATTGAGGTCGGAGAGGGCCAAATGTTGTGACCCGCCGTGTGTAATTGATGGGACCTCTTCCACCCCTGTCATCTCTAGGTCTCCAGGGTGATTCACCAGAGGGAGTTTGAGGCTGATCTTGCTGAGTCGCCCTCTGCCCCATGCCCTCCTCCCGCTCTGAGTTCTGATCAGAGTTCTGGTTCTCAGGCTCCTGATCCAGGAAAGGGAAACAGCTATCATCATCTTCGTTGCTGGTCTCATCAGAGCCAAAACTAGGCCGGAAACAGGCTGCTTCTGTGCCAGTGCTGTTGCTAGGTGGACCAGAGCAGCTGGTACCATCTGTCTGCAGGTTTTCCATACTGGACACCCCACCACGAGTGGCATCCAACCCTGGTAACCACTCCCCAGGTTGAGCGACACTTGGGTCAGGTCTTGGGGAGCAGCGTCCACTCTGGGAAATGGAGAGAAAAGGGGTGGAGGCTTGATCGTGGGCAGGTCTGTGTTCTGCATTGCGACTATCATGATCCCAAAGAGATGCTGCAAAGAAATTACAGGGAAAAGGACAACTAATGTACTTTGATCTTGCAACCTTTCTCATCCCACCACCTGTTTGAGTGCCATTACACTCAAAAATATGCATAGGTCACACTGAAATAGTAGAAAGTTAGTGACTAGTAAATTCTTACATTTGGCCTTGGCTTGTGTGACAGACAAGGCATCAATCTGCCGCTGGTCCCCAGCAGCCAGGCTTCAGTCTGTGCCTTGGACTACAAAGATGCCAGGGTAGGTCGGGATGCAGCTCGCTGTGGAAAATAAAATAAACAAGCCTCTTGAATGTAGAAAAGCCAATAGCAACGCATGGTCCAAATGTCACTTTTTGCCCGGCTATTCAAAAACCATAAAGACTTAATTACTTCAGGTTATTGGGCAGCCAACGTTTGAGTAATGGGAGAGGCAGGACAGTATCTGACCTCATGTTTTACCAGTGTTCCATCCTGGCCTGTGACCTCCTCTTTCAGCCCACCAAGACTGTGACCGAGTCCTTCTACCGGGTCTGGAGGAGAGGATACATCCTTTCCCAAATTCATTCCTGTGCAAGAAAAGTTTAAGTGGTCAATGTATCAGTATAGTTGAGTGCTGTTTCAGTGGAGAAAGTGTTTTCAAATACTACATAACCACAGACAAAAAGGCTCATCTTAGTGCAAAATGGGGTTGAGCATGAGATAAGCAGATATGGATAACATGATTTATGAATGGATGAATCTGAGATACAAGATTATTCTTGACCATGAACATACTGTACATCCACTTTTTTCACTTTGTCCACCAGTACAATGACCATATTGAGTCGTCCATGAACTTATCTCTGACTCTAGGAAGACAGGTCAACTGTAATACCTGATCCTGTCAAGGTCTGCTGCCTCAAGTTAACCTCTCTGTCTCCTGATGGTATCTCCCCTTCCTCGCTCCCTCCGCTCTTCGCTTTCTGCCTCCTCTCGACCTTATCCAGCTTGCCCCGGAGAATGGAGATCTCCTCCGTTTTCTGCGCCAGCTCCGCCTGCTGTTCACACAGGCTACTTTCAAAGATCTTGGCGATCTCGCACACAGCAGCTGCCAGCAGCGAGTCCATGACAGTAGCCAGCTGAGCGTGGAAAGCACTCCTCGCAGACTCCATTTCGCTTTGTTTCTGGGACAGATATTTTGTGAATGTTTGACTAATACGGTTGTTTTGTTCTATGGTTAACTTCCAGCTGTGGAACGATGTGCCAGCCACTGTACACTCCTCTGCCCTGGTATCTATAAACTGCCATGAGAGGTTGCCATGTTAAGTAGCTACGCCAATTCAAACTGCCATCTATCCCAGCACTTTTTTATAAGCTAGTCTCCCTGTTGTCAAGAATCTTTTGACTGTCAACTTGTGCGGCGTTAATACTTATCTCAGTAAGGCTATGGTGTACATTAAGGCAATGTGCTTTATCTGGTAAGCTAACCCCAGTTGTGCACAGTGATGGCAAGCCATACAGTGTCGTGTAAAGGGTCCGTTTGCATAATATAATACAAATCTAGCCAATTTCTAGCTAGCTAGAACAAAATGGGCTGTACACAATACTGTCAGTGTTTGAATGTATCGTTGTGTAGGCTATCTAACATTACCTTGAGCTAAAGTGTAAACAAGGGAGACAATGAAGCGTAACGTTAGCCAGTACTAGCATACTCAAGGCTAAAAAGGCTAACCGTGTAAATACAGCAGAGACAACCAAAAGATGCGGTTCGACAATGGCTCTTGTCAGCCGGTGGCCAAGTATCTTCACTGGCTAACATTAATGTTAAATCCATACAACACATCAGTCACAACCAATTACGCTGCGATTCGTCCTCCCGCTAGAAGGTTGATCATGTCAGCACCTGTGGATGTGATGATGTTGCAAGTCTCGCGATAAGAAAGCTAAATTAATCAAATTCTGGAGATTACAAAAAAGATCCAAAATAAACGTATAACGTTGGAGACACATTCAGATTAATCACTTAACTTTTCAATAACAAGGTGGTGCTACAACTTTAATATAAAATGCACATTGATGAAATTAAAAGAAAACTCATTCACATCACTTCAAAATATGAGTTACGGTGTAAAATTTGGACTTTATTAGAGCCATATTGACAATGTCTCAATAGAGGATAACTATTACGACACCAAAGGAAAAAATGAACAGTAGGCTTGTAAGACATTTTATTCCTTTGTCCATATGGGTCAATGAAGAAGAAAAAAAACTAAATAAAAATGTTAAAACAGTAAAGTTATGCTTGTTCTGGCTTCTTTTACTATTCAAGTATCAGATAAAATTCATACTAAATCACTCTGAATCCTCAATGTTTTCAGATATCTGTCAAGTGCAGGAGATATTTAACAGGTTAACTAATCAATATTTTGTCAAAGCAATACAGTCAGCGTTGCACAGCTGTGAACAAGTACCCGAGTTCACAACCAAGCACATCACACTTTGGATGAGTTGCATTTTCTCAAATTCTGTTCAAACATGTAGAATTGATACCAAACAGCTTTAGGTGTGACCACATAAGACGACAGACAAATACGTACAAAGAGCTGAACATTTACTGTAAATACCAAAATGGGGTTGAATGACTTCACCATGACCTGTATACTCAGAGACCAGATTTTTAACAGGCTATACAGCTTCTACCGAGCTCGCTATTCCTTGCTCTGTACTTATGGTGGCCAGTAATCAACAATGAACTCTGCTTTAAGGCAATCTTGGTTTTAAACTCGTTTGCATCAATATGATGAATTTACCTCCATCTGTCAGGTGTTTATGGAAATGATTTTGTTGTGATTTCAATTATGTTTATTTTCTGTAAAGTGTCACTATTACAATATAGATTTATTGTTGGATTGATGGATAGGTTTTATCCATCACCCACCCTTATACCAACTGCTTTTCAAATCATGAGTGAATGTATCATAATGCTGTAAAAGAAATGTCTAGCTAAAACTTTAAAACAAGTAACAAATGATCTTAGTCAGAAGTACTTTGTGGTGGTCTAGACCCCTCTGGACACAACCAGACACACTGAGGTTTTCTCTCTGGACTTTTGCAAAAGACTTTTACTTAGTGGTTCTCATATCCATAGGGCTGCATGTATTAGCACTGTTATTTTCAATAAAGTCTGCATTTCTAATTTTGTATCAAAACTATATCCTGCTGACTTGCCATCTGCAAACAACCGTGTCATCACCCGATTTGTTTTTTGTCATTTTAGATAACTATAATCTCCTTATAATTACATCTCAAAATGGAGAAAACCCTGAAAAAAACTTTATCCACATTTTAAATACAGGGAAAACCCCTTAATGTAACAGTAAAAGCATAAATGATAAGCGTTTCAGTATCCACAGATAAATTACATTAACTGTATATTTGCTTACTTGTGGAAACGCTCCATGTGGTTCCAGAGACGTCCCCTAAGAAAGAAGCCTTTTCCACAGACTTTGCAGACATTAGGCCACTTCTTTTGACAGAAAAACACATGCTTATCATAACTTCTTGGTGTTCGGAATTTCTTCTGGCACTTCTCACATTGCATCACCAGTGAGGAAGAATGGCAGGTTTTTCTGTGCTGGCACAGCTGTGCACTAGTACGAAACTTTGTAAGACACTTATCACATTTGTGGGGTTTCTCTCCTGTGTGGATGTAGAAGTGATCAATCAACTGGTATTTGGTTGCTACGACCTTATGACACACTATGCAGATGAAACCATTAGAACCTTGTACACCCATTGTTTTCCATCTTTGACTTGGCTTAATGCCTGGACTGTGTGCCGTCTGAACAGTTTTATGGTCGACTGCACAATCTGTATTGTCATTGGGAGAAATCAAATCTTCTCGATTATCGTCAATGTCCTCTAAAGGCTTGGTCCATGCAAGGTCTTTGTTTGTCTCACCGGGATTCACCTTGTCTGTGTGCCATTTGCTTATGTGCTGTTTGAGTGACTGATTGACGCGGAACCTCGCTGGGCACATGCCGCATCGAAAGGGCTTTTCACCAGTATGTACACGCATGTGCTCGCTGAGATTGAAGCGTGAAGGACAGTTCTTGTTGCAGTATGGACAGGCATACACATTAGTGAGTGCATCATTCTGGGTCGATGATTCACCGTGGCTCCCAGAAGCAGGAGGGCTTTCCTCCTCAGCGATCACCTGTTTTTTGCTTGGTGTTGTTGGTTTTTCTTCATCACATGGCTCAGGTTTTGGTGGGCTCGCATGCAGTGCTTCTTTTTCCAGTAACTTCTTGAGCATTTCACAATGTGGTTTATGATACTTAAGAACACTTGGAAAACTGAAAACTTTTTTGCAACCTTTGCACCTCTTATGTGATCGTACATGCACGCTTCGGCCAAATGATGTATCAAATACCTTTTTGCAAAACCTGCAGGGGTATGTTTTTTTGCTTTCATCTTCCACCTTCCCCTGTTCTGTAGACTTGGTTTCTGCAATCTCTCTTTCCTCTTTTTCTGCCAAATTTCTCTCGCTTCTTCTAAGACCTGTACCACCTACATTTTTGTTTTTTTCTTGGAGCGGGTATTTCATGTCATTTCTCAATCGTGTACGTTTAGTTCGTTGGCTCTTCATTGGTATGCTTCTGTCCTGAGTGTCTTTGTGCGTGTTTACTAAGGAACCTGCAACAGAAAAACATTACAAAACAGAAAACTGTAATCCACTGAAAATGTAGATGTGATGTGAATATAACAAACTGATTCAATAAGATGACAGCGCAACAAGATGTTAATAATTTATACAAAACTGAACTTCAAATATCTGATTAGGAAGCCAAGAAAGACAGCGAGGAGGTGATATTAAAACAATTTGGAGCCATAGATGTCTCATTTAAATGGAGAGGGAAGAAAAAAAAAAAGAGACATTTTCACATTTACTGTCCCAGTATCCAGCCATACTGACATTTCAGGTTTAGGCCATATTTTTAAATATCCATCCCTGAGTGTTCTGTCACCACCACCAGTACAGTTAAAGGAAATGTCCACATGTCCACTGCACTGCATTAAAAGACTTCATAAATTTGACTGTAGCATCTTTTCAGAATCCATGACCTGGAGGGCAGCAATAAAATGTATCTCAAAAACATTTAGCTCAATTTCTATTGTGCAAAACTACAAGTTGCAAAAGAAAGAGTCCCAATAAAAAAACTCAAAATCAACCCTTTGAATTATGGATTCTAATACATTCAAGATGTCATAGACAGCATTCTCATTTACAAAAGGAGCCTTGAAAATCATAAAATTGTGTGAAATCAAAAGTTAAAAAGACTGAATTTAAATATGTATGTGTTTAGGCAATTACAATCTTCATCCTGAGAACAATACACATTTATAGCACAAAATAACAAATGAAACAATAAAACTCACCACAGCTGGAACTCCTGACAGTGTTTTTTTGCTGGTGGGAGTCAATGTCACAGCTAACCACCTAAAATATAGATATATAGGTTTTGCTATTAAAAAATGGTTTATGTGCAATGTGTGTGTTTATAAACAGTAAATAATGAGATAAGCTGTCTGGTTGTTCAGAGACTTTAATTATTATGCCTACATGTGGAAAAGTGGATATTCCAGCTCTTTATAACACAGTATAAGTAGCTGAAGAAAATACATCTTGACACCTGGATGTATCCAGTATATCCAACCTATCATGAGAAGGTGTTAAGCAGTCAAAACAGATCAAAATCAGTGAGTGCTACAGCAAACATTTATACAAGAGGTTCTGCACATCTGTTCACCAATTCTGTGGACAAGTTGATCATATCATATATTTTATCTATGACACACCATAGGCCAATTTTTTCAACTTCGTATCAGGTGACATCTCCAGAGTACCGGATATTTCCAGTGTACCAATCAAGACCGCATTTGACCAATTATCCTGTTTTATGCTCAATTTTTTCAACTTCGTATCACTGGCTGAGGTGACATCTCCAGAGTACCAGATATTTCCAGTGTACCAATCAAGACTGCATTTGACCAATTATCCTGTTTTATGCAGACCACTACTCACCTCTTACTCTGAACCCCTTGTATTCTGCTGTATTATTAATGTACTGTCAAACCAGCTATAGTACTGCCTCTTCAAACAACATAAATGAAGAGATGTGGAGTCTTTCATAAGAAATGTTCTCTGATTGTTTGTGATGATAATTTGTAAACTGCCACCACATCCAGGTTTTCACTTTAAGTTACACACCTCCTGCTTGATGGCTGGAACGTGACACAGAGGAATGTACAGCGGGCGCAGTCTTACACTGGGACAAACAACATCATCTTGCTTGGTCAGGGTCTCACAGCCCAGGGGAGCACACCAATCATCAGGTACTGCACAAACACAAAGGGGATCAAGCTGCATATGTGAGCATTATACTCATTTTACTCAAAAGTGGAGTAAGACATCTACATACTCTCTGCTACCCTCACATGAACTGATACTGGTTACTGTAGTTTAAGCAAGGTACAGAAACTCTAGTACCTCTCATAAACAGTGACTACTATATTCATATTCATTCATGTGATAATCATAAAATATATTTTTATATATTTTTTGGCAAGTTACAGATTTTATTTTTAACACCATACCTTCAAAATCAATCTCAGGAACATTAGCAGGAACATTAGATGTTTGTTCAGAGGTGATCAGAAAATCTTCAGGCCCTCTTTGTGTTTCAGTCATCTGAGTTTTATTCATCTCCACTCCTTTGTCACCTCCACACTCCTGCTCTCTCAGTCTGATTTCTGCAGTCTGCAACTTTATTCTAAGTTGAACAACCTCTTCTCTTTTCTGCGCTAGCTCCATTTGATGGTCATGTAGGCTGTTCTCAAAGATTGTCATTATTTCAAGAACCGATTTCCTCAGGACTGAGTCCATGGCTATGGTCAGCTGGGCCCTGAAACCCCTTGTCAAAACATCAGACATCTTTGAAGATGACAGCAGTTTACAGATGTCCTTAATCAGAATGTCTTGGGTGATGCTGTACTGGTCCTTTTGCTTACCACTATCACTTATCCCCTAAATGAAGAGAACAGACATTAGATTAGGGTCAGCTACGAAACAACACTGGCAGATTTAATGTTTCCCTTCCCATTAATCCACCTAACCCCCTAAATGATCATTACAGTTTTAACTTAAGGAGAAATCGGAAAGCACACACACAGCGGGCAAATAATCAATCTTAACACAAACTAAAGTGAGACAATTTGTGAATGTGCAGGTCTAGACTAGTATTACGCAAAGGATGAGACGTTAAAATACAGCTAGCAAACGCAGGCACAACGTTACCCCACAGTGCGCTCACTGAAAGAAAAGCCGGATGATTGAACCACCATTTTCCTATGTAACCCCAACGCCTGACCATAGCTAACGTCCGTTATGTTTATGACTGAGTACACAGATTTCGCTTTGGAGAAAAGAACGACAGAAACAGAAGTTCGGCTAACTGTTAACGTTACAGCTGCACGCACGTAAATTTAAATACCATGAAACGTCGCAATGGCAAACACTGTAAACGTATTTTACAAGTTTAACATGTATCTGGTTAAGTAACGTTACGCATGACCATCGGTACGAAATACTGACCGTTCAGCGCCAGAAATGCTTGTCCGCAAACTCGTCTGAAACGCAGAGACTTACTGCATAAACAGTAAACCGATTCATCCACATCTGACAAACAAATATTAAATCAACTGCATTTGTTTCTTGTTAGTAAGATGAAGTATGCAACAGCCACACGGTAAAATACCCGTTCGCCATCTTTTTTACTCAAGCTCGCCAGAAAGGAGGGAAAAGCGCACGTCATAACGTCTGCGTCTCTTTCTTCGTCTTCTTCTTCTTCTTCTTCTTTGGGTGTAATTGCGGTTGGCAAACAACGTTGTCATTACGCCATCTTTGGCTGATCAATTTGTACCATACTGCATGGATTTTAAATCAATTAAAACGTAAAATGTTGTAAAATGTACATGATCCTAAAAGGTGGAATAAGGAGAAAATGTCTTTCGTGCATGGGTTACATATCAGTTTGTTACCCAGCACTGTGCTTACCATACAAACCAATGTTGTATAAAACAAACAAGAGTACTGTTGGACCCGGTACTTTTCAGCACGCTAACTCTGAGAGACGAAGCAGTCCAAGTACTTTCAAAACAGTGCTGATGTATTGAATATACACAGGTAAAAATTAACATTACACGCTCAGGTATCTTTGCACCTCCAACATGCACGCAAGCAGCTGAAAGATGAAAGACCCCCGAACCACAACAGGCCTATACATTATATCACTTCGGGCTAACCCCATTCTACACAGGAACGCCAAACCGTGACGTCTCCCGGTGCCAGCTGTGCAGCTGACCATGGCAGTAGTCAAAGCATGAAGAAAATCAATGTGTGATTGTCTGTTGATTATGTGGTGTGTAGCTAAAACATTCTAACACGACCTCTAATGACATGTCATGGCATTAAACATAAGAAAATATTATGGCTATGACTACAGTTATACACGTCATAATAATAATAATAAACATCCTGTCTTCTAACAGTCATCAACTTTCTATCTAGTTATCCTTGACCATAAGCAGCCTGCAGTAACTCATGAGAATGACTAAGCATTTAACAGCCTGAGCTAGACATCCTGTCTACTCTAAACATTTCTAATACATAGTGTCTAACCAATGTCTATCTGACTAAAAATACCTAACAGTACGCATATAGTAACCAGGGTCTGTGGTACACTGCATTTCTGTAGGGTCCATATATATTTTAAGTGAAAGCTTAGTGAAGCATGGATATGACATATGCCAGTGAAGTGAAACATCTTGATGACGTTTATGTTGTGGATAGTAGTCGTAAGGACCGCCCGCGAGATCCTGCAGTCTTGCGAGACAAAGAAACGCCCGTCTTCTGCTCCAGGTGGGCGGGAGGTGGGAGACGAGCAGAGTCTGCTGCGCTTGTGCAAGCAGACGTAAATGAGCTGTGCATGTGCGTACCAGTGTTTCATCCTGATATTATACATTCTGATGTGTGTGTGTGTATATATATATATATATAAATTCCCCACTCGCCCCCCACTTTGGGGTGGTCTTGTATTCCTTCCTTCAAGCTCGGGTCCTCTACCAGAGGTCTGGGAGCTTGAGGGTCCTGCTCAGTATCTTAGCTGTTCCTAGGACTGCACTCTTCGGGACAGAGATCTCAGATGTTGTTCCTGGGATCTGTTGGAGCCACTCTCCCAGTTTGGGGGCCACAGCCCCCAATGTTCCTATTCGCACGGGGACCCCTTGTGCCTTCACCTTCCACATCTTTTCTAGCTCTTCTTTCAGCCCTTGGTATTTCTCAAGCTTCTCGTGTTCCTTCTTCCTGATGTTGC